TGAGCTAGCTCAAACCCAATCTCGAAGGCTCGAACACCCACCCCCATAAAAAAACTCAATCTCCAATGCGAGGTCATGACATCTACCTCCTTCCTTTGGGACGGTGGAGGAAGGACATCGGAAAGAATTGAACGACGGAGAAGGAAAGAACAAAAAATCATAATGCAACACAACAATAGGAGGACAAGGAGAAAATAGGATCCAGGGCTGCAGAATAAACGCCGGAGGTTGTCCAACGCCGGAGTTGTCAGAGAGAGGGAAGTGACGAAGACGGTGCCAAAGGTCAACATATTGCACCATGGCCGCAAGTCCGAGCGTGCCCTAGATGTCCTGAATCCATGAGCGGAGGTGGAGACCATCTCGAACCGAATGGGACTTCCGTTGTCGACATGGAAATAGGGCGGATAGGAGTGGTGCGAGCTTGGAGACGGACTTTTCATCAAAAATTTGTCCAGAAGCGACATATGTTGCCATGTCGCAGAGACCAATAGATAGAGGCTTGGAAGATATCCTCAACCTTAGGGTCGCAAGGGAGAAGAAGTAGACGCCATGGTCCTAGAGGAGTTGGTATGCTGCAACCATAGCCATTGCACATGTCCGCAGACATCTGGGAAAGCTGATTTGGTGAATACCGTTGAAGATGCCCTTAGGCTCCTATCTTCAGTTGAGGCATTGAGGACGGGGTATGATGCGAACCACGTCCATTCGGTGGAGAAAAACGAAAAAGCTAGAGGTAGAGAGCAATTCATTATAATGGAAATGGTGGGTATTTTTTCTTAAATCTAATTTCATGGCTATAAATTTTCAATCTACTAAATAAACGGTCACATGTTTGTGATTTGTGTGGTATTTTCTAAGCTATTTCTCTTTTTGCTTGGCATGTATATAATGGATCTCTAGAGTTGTCTAAAAAAATGTGAACATATGAAGATTTTATCTTTTTTTTTCTTGGTAATGTTAGAAATTGACATCAGTTTTTTTTTCTTTTTAGGACAATTGATACCAGATTTTTAACCATGGCTAAATTGCAACAATTAAATTTGCCAACAAAATGTTTGATTTACTATGGCTAAAAATCTGACGTTTGATTTGTAGCGAAATCTTGTTTTTTTTTTCTTTTTGCTGATCCGAACCTCCGACCTCCTCTAAACCATACGCAGGCCACGTAAGGCACTATGAGCATCTCCAGCCGCGCCCCCAACAGGCCCTTCCCAAGCGTTTTTCAGCGTCGGCGCCAAAAATCGGCCCAATCGCGCTCCCAGGAGCCCGTTTTTCGCCGGTTTGGGCCGAAACTGGCGCCGACGGACCCAGGCCGAACCCGGCGCGCTGGGGGACGCCCGGAGGCGCCGGGGCGAGCCATTTTGACGCGAAAGCGGATGGACCTGCCGAGTAAACGACACGCCGCTTCGTCGCCCTCATCGCCTCGGTTCCCGCGGGAATCAATGCGAAGGCTGCCGCGCCGGTCAGCCTCCATTGATGCCTCACGGGCAGCGCAGTGAACGCGCCGCGACGCGCGTCCAGCTACGCGTCGCCCGGCATGCAGCCCGTCGCCGCCTAGCTACGTCTATAAAAGGCGATCTCCGCGCCGGTGGACGCCACAACTCTCATTTTCCCCCCTCTCTGGCGCAGAAAGCAGCGCTCTCCCTTCTTCCCGCCGACGAGAAAGATGGTCGAGAGGTACCCAGGCGACGGCGCGGCGGCGAACGGCTTGGGCCGCCGCCACCTCCAAGAGCCGGAGGCGCTGCTGCTGTACGAGGCGGAGTACCCGACGCCCCGGACATGCGGGTGCCGGGGACGTGGAGGCTGAGCGCCGGCGGCGTCCCGGTGCCACCAGTGCCCGAAGGGGCAGCGCGGCGGGCCAAGATCGCCCGCATCCGCTCGTCCCTGACTGAGGAACAGCGGAACGAGCCGTGCTACGCCGCCGACAACCACAGCCTCTGGACCATGTACTTCCAGTGCCGCTGCGAGGAGCAGATCGCCTCCACCAACGGCGTCATCCCGCGGGGCCACCTCAACGCCGACGGGCGGCGCGAGTGGTGGGGCGTGCCAGGCCGCACCCTCGAGGCCGTCCTCGACCACATCGAGACCGGCAACGTGCCGCGCCTCAAGTACCCGCCGCGGCCGTCCTTCTCTCGCCGCCATGGTAGCTCCTAGACGCCGCGGCGGATGGAGCCAGGGTCGTCCTCGTCGTTGGGCTCCAGCTCGCCCGCCACACTCCGCCCCGTCAAACCCGAGTCGGAGGAGACGCCGCTCGGGCGCCGCACCCGCAGCGGCGCCCTCGTCATCAACGAGGGTGCCCCCGCCCTCCCTGCGCGGTTCTTTCCGCCTGGTCCGGCCGAAGCCGGAGCCGGGGGCTCCCGGTGAAGCCGGAGCACGTCGAGATGGCGGCCCCCGACGACGAGTCCGCCCTCAAGTGGGCGAAGGAGGACTACGTCTGGGAGCAGGTACGCCGCCAACGTCGGGCGTACGTGGAGCTCCAGGCCCGGCGCCGCGGTCACGAGGAGGGCGGCGTCGTCGTCCTCGACAGCGACGAGGAGGACGACGCCGGGCCGTCCAGCGCGCCACCGCGCCTCGGCGACCCGGGCCAGGGCTGCAGCAGGGACGGCGCTGGCCCAAGCCAGCCGCGCGACGATGACGACGACGACGATGATGGCGACGGCGGCAACTACACCCGCTTCTACAGGCTTCTCGGCATGTAGACGATGACGACGGCGGTGGCGGCTAGGCGTAGTTTGGCGTAGTTCAGGCGTGGTTTGCATGTGTTCATGTTTTTTGTACAAATTTTAATGAAGTTTCGCCGAGTTCGTGCAAAAATCGCTGAGTTTGCATATATTTACGGAACATTGCCAAACCCAGGGCGACTTGTGAGCAGACGACTGGGAGCTAGGTCGCCCCACGCATCAATCTAGCGCCGCTCGCTCCCAGGCTCTTTTTCGACGCTCTGGGAGGGCGAACGGCTGAAGATGCTTTAAGACTACCCACAATGGGAGTAACATAGGTAGTAACATCACACATATCTAGATAAAATAAATGATGTGGCAAGCAATAAATGAAGAAAGAGAGGTATGTGGTAACATAACTAGTTACTACTAGTATGAGTAACATCACACATATCAAGGCAAGATAAGTCTATAGCCTAATAAATGAAGTGTTACATATTACTACACATATGTTACTCCCCATTATAAAGGTAGTAACATAGAGTAGTAACATGCCCATGTTACTACTCTATGTTACTATCCATTGTGGCTAGTCTAAGGCCGGACTGCTTACGGCTTGCATTGAAGCCACTTAAACTGGTGACGGACTGGCTTGAGCAGCAGATTTTTTTTATCTCTTGGCTAGTCTGAGTCTTCCGACCTCGTCACACGACGACAAGGTAAGCAGGCCACGTAAGGCCCTACTGCTTACGGCTTGCATTGGAGCCACTTAAACCGATGACGGACTAACGTTTGACATGGACTAGCTTGACTTCTTAAGTATGCAGGTCTTATTTGTCTTTTTTGGGGGCTATTCCGAGCTACCAGACTGCTTACGGCTTGCATCGTAGCCAATCAAACCGGTGACGGACTAGCTTGACTCCTTGAGTAGCCAAAAAAATCTAGATTTGTACTCCCTCCGTAAACTAATATAAGAGTGTTTAGATAACTACTTTAGTGATCTAAACGCTCTTATATTAGTTTATAGAGAGAGTACATACCAGTGGTATTGCTGTCTCAGTTGTCGTGACTTTACCAAGCACGCCTGCCGCCCGTATCGTTTCTTTCTTCGAGGGAAAGAAAGAAAGCGATCTCGCTTGCCGCCCCAAGGAGGGCCGACGATCTCAGTCGCTAGTGCTAAGGGGGGGTCGTCGGATCCACACGGGGTAGATCGTTTTAGGCTTTAGTAGTTAAGGTTTTGGGTTGTTCATCGTCTTGGATTCGCCGGCGGCGATGGTGGTGCTAAATAAAGATTCTTCAGATCCTATCTCGACGAGGCGATTGGTCCTATGATTGGGGATGAATTTGAAAACTAGTCTGTTCAAATGAGAATGATGTGGCGGCGGCATCCTCGTGGTGGACGTGTGTCCTCGGGCTCGGCCGTTGCGAGGGCGTTTGCTCCAGCGCTGGCGCGGAGCTTGAGAGATAGTCCAGGAGCGGGTGCAAATTGTCTGCATCGGCGGCATCTGAAAGATGGTGGATCGTGTGATAGGTTCTTGGTTCGTGGATGACATGTATGGTTTCCTTCTTTGGCGTTTTAGTCGTGTGAGGGTGCCATATCTAGAGTTCGATAGCATGTCCAGGATATTGCCCTGATTCGTTCAACGAGAATGATTTCACCTTTCGTGAGCCATCTTAAAAGTCCATTAAAATATATATCAACGATGGAGTCGCATCGAGATCGAATGAGGTGATGATCCATCATTGTTAGTTTAGTAATAGATGTGGTGGTACAAGAGAAATGTGACGGATGTTGGTGTCAAGCTTACGGCTTGCATCGAAGCCACTCAAACCGGTGACGGACTAACATTTTACATGGGCTAGCTTTGTAAGAGGAATTGGTTTGCGGTAAGCGTATGCATCGTTGCAGGGACGCGTGCGTGTTTATATAGAACAAGGAGTACATGCGCGGCAGGTTGTTGGAGTCTTGACCCATCCTCCAAGCTATACAAGAGATAGGATCAGATCTACCAACAACCTGCCTTGGTTTACAAGATTACAAGATACACACGCACACATTACACGCACATAACATCGTGACATATGTGTCACGTCTAACTAGCAAGCCTATCATTTAACAAGCTTGACTCCCTGGGTAGCTAAAAAATTCTAGCTTTGTACATACTAGTAATATTGCTCTCAGTTGTCCTGACCTTTTTTTTTGCGTGGTAGCCGTTGTCTTCACTAAAATTGTTTAGTTAAAAAGAACTGCCATTTTTGTAGTATAAATTATGTACCAGGCGCACGGTGAGCACACCACCGGAGCAACCGTGAGTCCGTGACCCAAACCGTATACACACCATGTGTCCCACAGCCAGAACCAAGCTCTTGCTCCTCCTTGCAGTAGCAGCCTCCACCATTCCCTTCACCTCCAATGGCTTGGTGCATGTGCCACGCCAGCCGGCCAGCCATGCCAACGGCACCGGCACCGGCACGATGTGTCTGCCACATGAAAGGGAGGCCTTGCTAGCGTTCAAGCGAGGCATCACCAAAGACCCGTTGGGCCAACTCGCCTCGTGGCAGCGACATGGGCTGAAGGACTGCTGCCGCTGGAGGGGAGTCCAGTGCGATGACCGCACCGGGCATGTCCTCGAGCTTCATCTTCGCAACTTGCACGCGAATAACACGCTTCTCATCGATGATCAACTAACAGCTTTGGTCGGTGAGATAAGTCCTTCTTTGCTCGCCTTGCAGCATTTGGAACACCTTGATCTCAGCGTGCAAGCACTCCAGGGGCCCACTGGTCGTGTCCCGGAGTTCTTGGTCTCTTTCAAGAACCTAAGATATCTTAACCTCTCTTGCGTACCATTTTTCAGTGATTTGCCGCCTCATCTTGGTAACCTCTCAAAGTTGCAATTCCTTGACCTCTCCCAAGCTAACATGGTTTATGTCTCATCGGGTGGACCACCAATGCACTCCAAAGATATCTCATGGTTAACCCGCATGCCTTTGTTAAGGTACCTCAACATGCAAATGGTAAACCTTAGCATGGTGGCCGATTGGCCTCGTGTTGCCAACATGATTCCTTCTTTGAGAGTCCTTTGTCTATCCCAATGCTCACTTGAAAGCGCAAAACACTCGCTCTTGCACTCCAACCTCACCAATCTTGTAGAGCTTGATCTCTCTGGCAACGACTTTGACCAACCACTTGCATCTTGCTGGTTTTGGAATATAACAAGCATTAGATACCTCAACCTTCGGTCTACCAATATGTATGGCCAGTTTCCAAATTCTCTAGGAGATTTGAAATCCCTTCAAGCCCTTGCCTTTTCAATTGATAGGTTGGGCTCCATGACAGCAAGCATGAGAAATTTGTGCAATCTTGAAGTCCTAGATCTCAGCAATAGCCTGTTGGATGAAAACATTAGAGACACATTCGAAAGGTTACCTCAGTGTTCGCCTAACAAGTTGAAAGAATTACATCTGGAGAACAATAATATCACTGGAGTCCTACCAAACTTCATAGAGGAATTCATCAACATTGTCATCCTCGACCTCTCCAACAACCATATAACTGGGCATGTGCCTCCTGAGATTGGAAGGTTCAGAAATTTAACTAGCTTGGACCTAAGCAGTAACAGACTTGGAGGTGTGATTACACAAGAACACTTTGCAAATCTGAGCAGTTTAGAACACATAGACTTATCCTATAATTCCTTGAAGATTGTGGTGGAGCCCGAATGGCGGGCACCATTTAGTCTCGTTACAGCTGGTTTTGCATATTGTCAAATGAATTTGTTTCCTGCTTGGCTAGAAGGGCAGGTGGGTCTCTCTTTTTTGGATCTTACGAGTGCAAGTATAAAGGACAAACTTCCAAAATGGTTTTCTACTACATTTGCAAATGTTATCAAATTGTACCTTTCGGCCAATGAAATCTATGGTAGATTGCCAACAAACATGGATGTTATGACATCATTGAGCTACCTATATTTGGATTCAAACCAGCTAAGTGGTGGAATACCCCAATTGCCAATGTCGCTGAGCATATTGGACATCTCCATGAACTCTTTATCGGGACCTTTCCCGGAAAATTTTGCAGCTTTAGATATATGGTTTCTAAGACTATCTTCCAATAGTCTCACCGGTCAAATTCCAGAGTCTTTGTGCCAAATGCATTACCTGCAGATCTTAGTGCTAAGCAACAACCTTTTTGAAGGGGAATTTCCTCGATGTTTCGAGACAAGCAGCCTGATGATGTTACTTTTAAGTAACAATAGGCTATCTGGAATGTTCCCAGCATTTTTGCGGAAAAACACAAATCTCGAAGTCCTTGACTTGTCACAAAATGAGTTCTCTGGAAGAGTGCCTATGTGGATTGGAGAATTAGTGAGCCTAGAGATACTACAACTGAGCTATAACACGTTCTCTCATAGTATTCCTTCAACCATTACAAATCTTAGTAGCCTTATTCAACTGAATCTAGCAGGCAACAGCATATCAGGTGTCATACCGTGGAACTTATCAAGTTTAACTGGTATGACAAGTGAGGGTAGTCCGAGTTCTTTAACCGACCCTAGATATGATATTTATATGCATGTGTTCACAAAGAGTCAAGAACTTAATTATCAAGATGATGCAATACTTAGAGTGGTGATCATGGACTTGTCATCAAATTTTTTAACTGGTGGGATTCCAGAAGATATATCATCTCTTGATGCAATTGTAGGTTTGAATTTGTCACAGAATCACCTGATTGGGAAATTTTCAAACAAGATTGGGGTCATGAAGTCGTTACAATCACTGGACCTCTCAAGGAACAAGCTTTCTGGAGAAATACCACCAAGCTTGTTAAATCTGACATATTTAAGCAGCTTGGACTTGTCTTACAACGATCTTGCGGGGCAAATACCATCAGGAGGCCAACTTGACACCCTCTATCTACAACATCCATCTATGTACGATGGCAACAATGGTCTTTGCGGACCTCCACTCCCTAAGAATTGCTCAGGAAACAATGCAGCAAGGCATGATGTTCAAACGACACATAGTACATATTCCGATCCAATGTCCTTCTACTTTGGGCTCGGAATAGGATTTGTCATCGGTCTTTGGGTGGTGTTCTGTGCCATGTTATTCAAGAAAGCATGGAGGATTGCCTATTTCCGGCTCTTCGACAAGGTATACGATAAAGTATATGTGTTTGTCGTTGTTAATTGGAAGAGGATTTGCCCGTAAGATGGCTACACGCTAAATCAATTGGCAAGATTGGCTAGAAATACAACCGGAGATGGAGTCTTACAAATAAAGGTGCATGCCAAAATGTTCATGTGTTGTCGTAGTTAGTATATTCAATAAACAAAGCAAAGATGTATTTGACTCTGTATCGTAGTCCATGTTGCCCTTTATTTAGTCTCTTGATGTACATGCACTGATGCACTGTCAGTTTGTACTTATGATCTAATGAATAAATGCACCATGTGTGTGCTACTTGGATGAAAACAAATTAAGAGAATAGTACAATTTGCCTATAACAGGCGCATGTAATTATCTTTAGGCGAGTAGTTTTACTTATTTTTTAAGATGTATTTCTTCATCAATATATTTTGTAAGATGTGTTTCCATCTCTTTTTTTTGAGCTTATGTGTTTCCATCTTCTTCTTTTATTGAATTTGTATGTGTTTTTATCTTCTTCTTTTTTTTTACTTACGTGTGTTTTCATCTTCTTCTTTTTTTGACTTATGTATTTTTCATCTTGATTAGAAGTCTGGCGGGGAGAAGAATGAAGACAAAAGGAAAATCAGAATAGGCAACTGGGCCTTGTGATTCAACAGCCCAGCCACAAGGCCCATGGCGTCCGTCCATATCGCCCCACTCTCCCGTCCCCATCTCCGATCCCCATCACAACCGGAGCCGTCGAGGCCGCCGCGCTTCCTCTCCCTCCCCTCGACTCCGGCGGCCGGCCGGGGCGCGTCGCCACCTTCCTCGCCCTTCGCCCCGCTGCTCGGGTGAGTCCCTCGCACTCCCCAATCCAAGGTTCCGCGTCACATCGTTCCCCGTTCGCCCGTCAATCCGCCCTCTTTTCCCCCTCGCCAAACCCCGGTGGCAGCGGCGCAGCGGCGCTTCGCCGACCGGATTTCAGGGGCTCCATCTGATGACCACCCGTACGTGCAGGTACCCGCTCCCCAGTCCAGCACAGAGCACAGGGAGGGGGGCAATGGAAGGACCATCTGCTTCTGACGGCCAAGTGATCCCGTCCACGGCAGGAGACCCTCACCTCAGCAGCTCGGCCGCGCCCATGGACGCCGCCGGCGGCGGCTCGCAGCACGTCGCGACGCTGCGGAAGCTGCTGTTTCGGAGGATGCTGGTCGGGGTGAACGACGGCCGCTACTTCCTGGGGCTGTTCCACTGCGTCGACAAGCAGGGGAACATAATCCTGCAGGACGCGGTGGAGTACCGCAGCGCGCGCCGCTCATCCCCGTCGGCGCCCAAGGAGGAGCGGTGCCTCGGGCTCATCCTCATCCCGGCGTCCTGCCGCTCGTCCTGCCATGTCGACTGCTTCATCGAAGAGCAGATGGCACTGCTGTCCCTGTGCAAGTGAAGGATGCTTCTGAATTTTCTTTCCTCTGGTTTCTCAAGCTGTGTAACTTGGATGAATCTGTGCCTGGAGACCTTGTTGTGACTTTTATTTGTAGTCAGTTGTGCCATATTGGAGTTTGCCCTGCATACTTTTTGTTATTTCAGCTAGAATCTGGTATTCGTATTTCTGTTCCATGGGAAAATATTCTTTCATTAATCAGTGTCACTGGCTGTGAGTTCTTCAATCAACAAGATTTTGTACATAAATTTAGTAACTGATGCCATAGAAGCTCATACCATAGCTTTCATAAAGTGAGCAAGTGAAGGATGCTTCTGATTTTTTTTTCTGGTTTCTCAAGCTGTGTAAGCTTAGATGAATCTGTGCCTGGATTGTTTTGAAAGTTTATGTAAGAGTATTTTTAGTTGATTTTTTCAGTCTTTCTGCTGTGAAGGTTCGTGGTAACTGCCAAAATGCCCATGGTGGGTATGATTCTAACAGTAATCACACTGGTTAAAATTGTGTCTTGAAAAGGAACAATTGGAAAACAACAGCTAAGGAATACTTGTAGTATAATTGTATTAGTCTCTCATAGCTGCTTATAACTAATAATACATGAATCAGACATTAGCAGCTAGGTAAAATAGCAGTGTACAGTGTCCAGTTTCCCCATTCTATCACAAGTTCCACTCTCCGATGAACAGCTAATGGATACATGTGCCGTTGAGCCACTTCAGAGAAGGGCTGAGGGTCGACACGACAGCTGCAAAGCTATCCTTGTCCGCGACCGCATTTCCCTTGAAGTCAAGCTGCACCAGGTCCATGGATTTGAAGAAGAGTATGGCGTCCCAGAACTCCTCCACATTGACGTTTTTCTTTCGGCACTCCTCGAAGGCTTCACACCGTTCGACTTTGTGCAAAAATGGAGATGAGCACATGTAACGTGTCGTGTCGATCAAGTGAGCTCCAATCTTGTTGAAAGACAAATCCAACGCTTTCAAAGAAACTATCTTCGTCAGGGGTTCGAGTGACGTGAAACTGCTGATCTGGTTGTTGCTGATGTTCAGGCACACAAGCTGCTGCAGAGCCTCCAAACCTGAAAAGGTGAACATTTTAGTTTCATGTAGACATTGCACCGTGAAGCTTAGCCATCATATGCCAGCTTCTAACTCAGAGCAATTTATCGTTGGCGGTAGCTATTAGTTTAATGCAACTGTAAATCGCAGTTCCTTTCCAGGTACCATACACTGTCCCATTATACTGATAAATATCAAAATAACTCTAAAGTACAGACAAGAGTTACAAGATTTGAAAATCTGACCTTCAACTGATCTGAGGCTGTTATGGCTTAGGTCCAGCATTTGAATCCACAACACGCGTTCAGTAAACCCAATGCGTGTTAGAGACAATCTACAAAGTTGCACATGGTTCAATGGAGCTGACTCTGATTTAACTTGGACTGAACAGTACTTCATGAAAGTCTCCATGTCGCATGTTAGCTGCAACAAAAGGACATGTAAGATAGCTACAAAATAAGATTTATTAAAGGATATGATAACATGAACAGACCATCTTTTACTGCAAAATGTGAACTAATCAAACTCCACCATTTCCATTGACACTATTATCTTTGTAACTTGATTGACCATAGTCCCAAAAGGTGTTGCAAATATCACACGGTTAATTCAAATTTTGATAAGCTCAAAGTATCACCAGATCAAAGTGTGAATTAGTTTACCTGGATTACTAAATGCTTTCAAGAACTATGCAGATGATAAGAATATACATTGATTAATTGGGTTTAGCACAATAAGGTTACTAAAGGTGCAATTTGCACTTATTTAACATTACAGCCTCATTATTATAAGTGCGAAAAAAGAAAGGCCTTAACTACATGTGGGATAAAAGAACTTGTAAACAACAACGAATCTAAAATTGTCAAAATGGTGAAATGAATGTTTTTGGGTACACAATTCCACAAATATTAGAAGCTTCCATTATTTTTCATAAGAACCAAGTAAGCTGAGCGATACTAAATTGTCTAGATCTTCTATTAAGCAAACTGTGTTCAAACATTTTCCATGTTACCTGATCCATTAGTACTAAGCTCCGCTCATCTTCATAATATCTTTTATGAGAAGGATCCAAATTAATCAAGTCACTAAAGAACCCTAGCGCCTCTTCGCAATATCCCTTCCTTTCAATCAAAGAACTTCCGCGGGACTTTATTGCAGCGCAAGCAAGCAATAGCCGTGCTAGTGTCAATTTGGCAAATTTACTGTGGAAGAGAGTATGATGTGAAAATGGAGGTCAAATGCATTAATCAGCCGATGAAAAAGGTAATGTAGAGCCTAACCTATTCTCATCAGGTAAATCTCTGAAAAGGTCGATTTCATCAGATAGTCTATCCAAATTCCATCTTGACTCCTCTTGAACCAAGGCACTGGTGATATTTAGCTGATCAAAAGCGACACAACTGGGTTTCCCATGAGACTGGAATGATTCTGAGCTACTCCAGGAGATTGGGTCATGAAACAAATCGATATCATGTGCTTCATCATTATTGTTTCCCAGTTCAACGGTAAATGTAAAATGTACAGGGCAATTGCAGTGAGAGCCACTTCTTGACATGATATCATCTGAGCAGGGTATGCTTACTTCAACAGAAAATTGCTGTGAAGTGCTACAATCTTTGTTTCTAATTTCAAGATATGTGGCCCAACAATTAGAATAACCGGAGTCGGTTATCACGAGGGGCCTCCACTGAAGATCCTTATCAAACACAAAATCAGAATTTAACTTCACATTTGATGGATTTAATCCTTTGACAGGATCATTGAAATAAAGCACAATGGGTATAATCCCTTCCTTCAGAGAGTAACAACAAATGGAGCTCGGGGAAGACACCATGTTCTGGTCCTCATTTTTCCTGGTAGGAAATAAACTGAGCTTTGCACCATTAGAAGGCCAAGATGAAATCAGCTGTGGGTTATCAGGGGTAGATGTCTGAGCTAAAAGCCAGAGGTGATAGAACCATCCACTTTGGTCACCAGGGTCTGTAAAAAGTGCCTGAATCACAAGTTCAAACTCCTCTGAGAAGATCTTCTGCTTTGACTCAAAACCTTCACTTCGTTGGATTAGCAGCTTGGACAGAAGTATACTGCAATACACCACGTGAGATATTATAGCACGCAATGCAACATATCATAAAAAGTAATCATCAAAACTAGTAAAGAGAGGTAATGCTACAATATGAAATAACCAACGTTGAGATAATACAATCTACACATTACTCAAAACGTGCAAAACTAGTTAAACAGAGTAAGCATCTTCAATTCAGCCTGAACCATAAGAAACTAAGTCCTCAGGTTATCCTTTGCTAGTTTACATCAAATTCACTGAAATTTCTATGGATCAATATCAGTCCAGTTGCCAATGCAGTTGTGCATATCTCACTACAGGAAAAAAATTGATATAAGGTAGCTTAACTTGATAAATTCTCATCCAGGCACCAAATGGAATTGTGGGAAGTGCATCTAGATCAGAACAATTGCATACCTACGATTATGCCATGCTGAGTAATTACTGAAATTCTCACTGATCTTATCCATTGTGTACTGAAGCTCTTTCTCTTCTGGCACCCCCATAAATTTTGCAAGGAACCTGTGAAGGGCGGAAATCAGTTCAAGCAGGCAAGCGCTATCTTAGCATTAATTTGTAATAGGAATAAATTTACCTGCGGTAATTCCATCCGTGGAAATTCCTTGCATCCACCTTTAATAGTTTATCCAAGAGGCCGTATTCACGCTTGAAATCCACAGGGGCAAGCTTTTGATTCAACAACCACTTGCGATGATACCACGCTCCATAGGACTTTGGGTTCTGCCTCAGAGCAAGCTCCACCTGCAAAATTTCAAATCCCACAACTGACGATCATCGAGCAACTGACTACAACTAGAGCACAAAACAAAAAGCTCTCCACTATTTGTGACTTTAGTTCTTGCAAATGCACTACTGAAGAGCATAGAACAGTCTGATATAATGTTGAAACCGATAGATCAGCACATACCACTCTGAGCTCGGCATCGACGGAAGACTTGATGGCCTCTGGATCAGAAAGCTCCTTGAGGTTGTGCTGCAGCGCGAGCTTCCGGTAGTTCCACGCCGTGTAGGCCTCCGGGTTTATCTCGAGAAGCTTGAAGCTCAGCCCCAGCGCCTCCTCGGTGTACCTAAACACCCCAGACACCCA